GCAGGTACATAGCTTAAGAATCTTTCTGGATCATTTGCTATCTCATGAGGCTCTGGATGTCACAATGGCGTAGAATGCTTTCTATTAACTTTGGTTGGTGGCCCAGCTATGCCCCTATCTGGACAGGGAGAGCCTAACTACTGCCCTTTATGCTCTGGTAACCTCTAGGTTAGATTAGTGCAACATGTTATATGTGGAGTTGCCTTTGGAGATAGTTGGAAACTTCAGCTGGTGCAGAATTTGGCAGCCCAATTGTTCACCAAGGCAAGATGGTTTAAACATATAACACCAATCTCGGCCTGACTGCACTGGCTGCCAATTAGTGTCCATGTCCAATTCAAAGTGTTGGTTTTTACCTATAAAGCCTTAAACATTTCAGAATTGCAAAACTTCAAGGACCGCCTTTCCCCGTATGAACTACCCCATGAGAGGTCTGGAAGGTGGGAACATGAGAACGGGTCTTTTCTGCAGTGGCTCCCTGTTTGTGTAATGCTCTCCCCAGGGAGGCTTGCTTGGCACTTTCGTTACATATCTTTAGGTGCCAGGTGAAAACATTCCTTTTTCCTCCCAGGTCTTTGGCTGATTTAACAATCTGTGGTCTTTTAAACTGTGTTTGGGTCTGTGTATTTTTGTTTGTTATTATGGTATGTTTTATATTGCAAACCGCCCTGCGCTCTTTGGATGAAGAGCAGTATAGACATTTAATGAAGAAGAAGAAGAAGAAGAAAACACTTCCTGGAACCCAGATCTGCCTCTGTGGATCCTGCAGCTGGACCAGCTGTGAGCAGGTGCAGGCAAACTTCCTGTGTGCGATGCCTCTATTCATGTGGTGAATGCTGCTAAATACTAAGGCTGGCAGAGGAAAACTTTCATTTTCTGTTGCAGTTTTAATAACCAGCTTATTTCCCCTGCCCCATATCTGGTACCATGTCTTTTTGAAGCAGGATCTTTGGTTTGAGGAATGGGCAAGCACATGCGTTTATTTCTTCTTCTTTTTTGTATACAAAAGAGGGCCACTGCCAGTCAGTGTAGACCAGGGGTGAGCAACCAATGGCCCCCAAGATGCTGCAAGGCTGCAGCTCAGTTTTCAGGGGTGTTTCTTTGTTTATTAAATTTCTATCGCACCCTTCCTCCCAAAGGAGGCAAGCAATCACGCAAGCAATAAACCAAGTAAAATATCTAAAAGCAGGTCCGGTACACATGCAGTCTGGGAAAGGTCTTCAGTAGGCACACACACAAAAAAGAAAACAGATGGCAGTAGCCTAAAATTTAACAGGAGGGATTTCCAATGGGTCGGTACCAAGACACTAAATTCCTACATTGTATGGAATGGACCTCCTCTTAACATGAGATCTGCAGGATCTTCTCACCCACAGAGCAATTGCCTGGGCAACACTCAACAGGGAGCCGCCACTAGCCTGAGGACTGCATGCCGGCTTCGTAAACACCTGATTGTTGCCCCATGTACACCTTTCCATGTTGAAGGCTAGGATCCCAAGCACACTTACTGGAGATACAATACATGTGTGTTGATGGGGTAAGGGGTTCAATACTGGACTGGTGGAAAGGACTCAGGGAATACTAACGGCCCACACAATACTTAACTTGCCGGGCGCTTGCAACCCATGCTACACCACTATTGGTTGGTTATATAAGGGGTTATCTTTCAGGTATCCCAGTCCCAAGGTGTATAGGATAATGGGAGTTCTGGTGCAACAACAGCTGGAGGTTTTCCAGAGGTCACTAACCCTTGCTCCATAAAGTCTGTTAAGTGTTGGTTTTCCCATCACCTGCACAGATTTTAAAGGAGTGCAACAATTAGCACACCTGTTCCATGGGACGCGGGTGGCGCTGTGGTCTAAACCACAGAGCCTAGGGCTTGCCGATCAGAAGGTTGGCAGTTCGAATCCCCGTGACGGGGTGAGCTCCCGTTGCTTGGTCCCAGCTCCTGCCAACCTAGCAGTTCGAAAGCACGTCAAAGTGCAAGTAGATAAATAGGTACCACTCCGGTGGGAAGGTAAACGGTGTTTCTGTGCACTGCTCTGGTTTTGTCAGAAGCGGCTTAGTCATGCTGGCCACATGACCAGGAAAAACTGTCTGCAGACAAATGTTGGCTCCCTTGGCCAGTAAAGCGAGATGAGCGCTGCAACCCCAGAGTCATCAGCGACTGGACTTAACGGTTAGGGACCCCTTTACCTTTACCATTGTTCCATATAGTATTTTTTAAAATAAAAAAATCAGTTTTTGTAAGGCAGAGGGGAAAATGCTTCAGTCCTCCAGATGTTGCCTGGAATACAATTCTCTTGGTCCCTTCTGGGATCAACATCTGGAGAGCAACGTATTTTCCATTCCTGCTAGATAGAAATTGAAGATATATATTTTTTTAAATGTATCTTTCTCTAGTTAACCAGCAGAGGGCATACTTGAGTTAAAGAAAACCCTGAATAGTATCGACCTTAGAACCATTCTGAATGATTAGAATCTTTCAAGTATTTGTACTTTCCAGAGGAAATTTCCAGCCAGTCTTCTGCAGCAAAAACAACAAAGGGTTGTATCCAATGCTACTCCTACTCAGTAATTAAGTTAGAGATGTCCATTAACTTCAATAGGTCAACTCTGCGTAGGATTAGTATTACAAACACCCCAAAGCAGGCATGGCCAAACTTGGCCCTCCAGCTGTTTTGGGACCATCATCCCTGACCACTGGTCCTGTTAGCTAGGGATGATGGGAGTTGTAGTCCCAAAACAGCTGGCGGGCCGAGTTTGGGGATGCCTGCCCCAAAGGGTCTTATGGCTGGTCATTCATAGCACAGACATCCTGGCATTAGTAAGCCCATTAACATATTGAGTGTGATTAAATTAAAACAAAACAAAATCATTGCCACAGTTCAACCCACTATTAATCCCATCTGAGTCATAAGTGAAAGCAACGGACCTATTGAAGGTTTCATGCTGCAGTCTCACTGTGACTGGGATCACCAAAGTCTCTTTTCCTGTTTGCCCACCCACTTTCTGCCCCCTTTAATTTTTTTTTTTATATATATAAAATTTCCAAGCGCATAAAGCTGAATGTGCACAAGTTAAATGCACACAAGCTGTGGGTCTACTGTAATACAACCAAAACATCTCAGACAGTATAGTTGCAACTGGACACAGAGAAAAGGTAAATCCAAACACAAGAGTTTGTATAAATGATATATTATTTCATGTGGCATATGCAATTATATATTACATTTGTAAACATTGTTCTGCCATTCAAATGCACAAGTCTATTGTCATAATCTCCATGTCTAAGGGTGGGCATGGCTCAGAGTCTTCCCCATAAGTGCCATATTTTTAAGAGCTTGAGTCATGTTAGAGCTCCTGTCAGGGAGAGGAGAGAAAACTTTCATTTCATAATGAGAAACTGATCTGATCCATGTTTACTTAGCAGTAAACGGCAGCTGTGTTAATTGAGGTTTACTGCACTGTAAGTGTGCATAGGACTTTTGCACCCCAGGACCAAAATGGGGTATCTGATTGGCTTTACAGCACCACGGGACCGCTCTGCGATGACAGTAGACCATCGTGGATCAATAGGATGAAGTTTGAAACCCGTAGCCATGTGGACCAATAAGGCAAGGTTTTGAACCCTCAGCCAAACAGGGTATTCAGTTGGCTTTACCAGGTCATGTGACCCCCTCTACCATGACGGTAGACCATCATGGACCAATAGGGAAAGGTTTTGAACTCTCTAGCCAATTGGGGAAAGGGGAAAGGAGGACATGAGTCAAAACAGGGTATCTGATTGGCTTTACAGGGTCATGGGGATCCCTCTACGATGACAGTAGGCCCACTGGTGGAGGAAGAGGAGTGTGGGGGGAGTGCACCGCCCCCGGCAGCGCAATCCCGGTGGGGTGCCATCGTGGCTGCCCCCTGCCCATGTTGGGTGCCACGCCCCCGCAGGCGATGTGCCACGCCCCTGGGACGTGCGGCAGCCCCACCCCGCCTGCTCTCCGCCCCCTGGTGCTGGAGCATGAAGCTCTGCCACTGAGTAGGCCATCATGGACAAATGCTTTGGAAATGTTCTGAACACCCTAGCCATGTGGACCCATAGACTGAGGGATAATTTTATAAGCTTCTACAATGCTGCAGGTGGCACTCTGGGGTGGTGCTGTGGGTTAAACCACAGAGCCTAGGACTTGCTGATCAGAAGATCGGCGGTTCGAATCCCTGTGACGGGGTGAGCTCCTGTTGCTCGGTCCCTGCTCCTGCAAACCTAGCAGTTTGAAAGCACATCAAAGTGCAAGTAGATAAATAGGTACCGCTCTGGCGGGAAGGGAAACAGTGTTTCCGTGCGCTGCTCTGGTTTGCCAGAAGCGGCTTAGTCATGCTGGCCACATGACCCGGAAGCTGTATGCCGGCTCCCTCGGCCAATAAAGCAAGATGAGCACCGCAACTTCAGAGTCGTCCATGACTGGACCTAATGGTCAGGGGTCCCTTTACTTTACCATGCTGCCTCTTCCTCTTCTTTTCTTTAAACGTAAACGCCCCAGATGCTGCAACACTTCTTCACAGGGCAGCGGCTCCATCCGCTTGACTGTTTTAGTTACCCTTTTTTTGAACACCACATTATCCTTTTTTCTTCTTCACCTGAGCTTGTAGATAGGGCACTGGGTTGGGCAATGCAGAATGCAAATACTTGCAAGTCCTTAGAGAAAAATGAATGAAGAACTGAACCACCAGAAATAAAATAACTCTGAGTCAAGGAAAGCAGCAACAAAAAAAGGGAAAGAAAACAGCACACTGAAATGAATAATAATTTTTATTATATGACAGCATGGTGGCATTTTTTTCATCTTGGGAGGGAGGTGTTGTGTTCCCCCATTTCATGCATATTTCAGACTCACATACCTCAACACCTACTTGCAGAGGAGGGACTAGATTTCATGGAATTGTAGAGGTGAAAGGGACCCTGAGAACTATCTATTCCAGCCCCCTGCAATGCAGGAATATGTAGCTGTCGCATACAGGGACTGAACCTGCAACCTTGATATCATCAGCATCATGCTCTAACCAACTGAGCTATCCAGCATATTGTACACACACTGTGCACAGAAGGCCCTGGCTTAGATTTGTGGCGCAACCAGTTAAAAGAAGCAGTGACACTTTTGAGCAGGATGTTGATGCCTACCACATTACAGATCCTGTCCACTTGACCCTGTTGCTGGCTGGGCCCTCCCATTAGAGGTTTATCCAAGGAGCTGCATCATCAGTGCTGGACGAATGTTTAATTCCCCTCAATGCAGTGCCGCAGAATGCCCAATGTTTCAATGCTAGGCCAGATGCTCTCCAGCAATGCATGGTGGGAAAGTAATGTTGAGGGGGGCAGCGGACGGGGCAGGAAAGGCTGTCTTCCTGAGTCCCTTCTAATTCCTGGCTCTAACAAGAATCCAACCTCTGGAATAGCTAGGCAAATTTCTTGGCAGTGGCCTAAGTATGGATTGTTAAGGTAACAAAGGAAGTGGCTCTGTGCTAGAAAGCAAATGGGTGGGCCCTGCTCCCTCAACAATCTGGTAGTTAGAAAGACAAAAGGTCAGAGTTATATGAGAGAGCTAGAAGCTAGACACAGGCAGAAGCTAGAGAGACAGACAGACAGACATGCTTGATTTCTGTTGGGATCCAAGCTTGCAACCATGGGAGAAGCAAGGCCTTCTTAGGGTGTTAATGCTGTGAGCCCCTACATCCTAGGCTCAGGCAGTATGTATATATGAGTAAATGAACCTAAATACACCACAGTCTTTGCTGTCCCTCATTTTGAGGAATCTGAACTCTTGGCAAGTGCCTGGAACCCCTGGGATCTCACATTGCTTAGAGGTTGGGGTGGTTTGCAATGGTAAAAATGGCAGCCTCCTGGTGCTGAGTGTTTTTTGGTTCCCATGAGATATGCACCCTCCCCTGGAGTGTTGACATTTGCCTGACTGCCAATCAGCAATTGGGGGAGTGTTGCTGCTGACTGGCAGTGCCCAAGTCCTGGTTTCAGTGGGGCCTGTCAGGATACATCTACCCTGGCACTTTGCTGCCACAGGGTCTGGATTACAAGTAGCCTGGTTGAGACCCTGGAGAGCTAAAGCTAGCAGGGGCCAGACCAGATAGCACTTACCTCCCGGTCCAACCCAGTCACTTGCACAGAGGGGAGTGCAAGAGAGCCAGCCTCTAGAGATAGCAATGCATATTGGCCAAAGCAGGGTTCTGATATTCTGGTGGTACTGGTGGTGGGGTTCAGGAAATGGTCCTTTTGATTGTCTCTGTGTGCAAGGCTGCATGCAGAAGTTCCATCCTGGTGGGAAAGACTGTGGAGGTAGAGCTGCCCTGCTGGATTGGGGGTTAAGTTTCATGGGATGCAATGAAGAGTGGATAGAACTGAGTAAGATGGATCAGTGGGAGTATAAGGCAGTGCCATATATTTTGTTCCAGTAGCTCCTAGAATTCTGCAAACATTGATTAGAGGAAAATTTCATGCACGTGTACAGAGGCTTAAACCAGTGTTGTTTGTCTTGGCATTAAGAGTTCCATTTAACAGAAAGAGCTACTCTTATATGGTTAATATTGATTCAGACCGAAAGGGATGAATATGTAACTCATCTGAAGATGTTATGAGGTTAGTGTTTATACGCACAGGAAGAATAATTAATTCCAGGAAATGGAACATAAAAGATCAGGGATGAGTCAGGCTGCTTTGTGAAGCATACTTAGCTTTTGAGGGGATATTTGTTGAGCCCTTCCATGGAGGTAATGGCTAGCACACTAGTGTCCACAGATGTCAGCTATGTTAGCAACCCCGTCACATAAGGATAGTTTAGCGAACAAACTTCTGGCTCTCCTCTTCCCTCCTACATCACAGCCACAAAGAGCAGATCAGAGGAATCAGCTTTAGTTTTCAGCTAACTACAGCTGAAAGTTTGTTAGAACCAAGACATACGGTGGTTAGTTTTAGCTCCAGTTTGTAGGACAAACTTCAGATCACAGTTTTTGATCCTGGCCTGTTTGAATGCATCATTGTTACCTGCAGATTCTGAACTATTTAGCAGGAAGAAACTCAAATGAAAACCCTCGTCTCGTTATTACATATTGTTTAAGATCTTGAACTGGATAAAACAAACTGCAGTTAGCTGAAAATTTGCAGCAGAAGCTAAGAAAGAAGGAAAGAAAGGAAAGGAAAAGAAAAAGGGAGGAAGGAAGTTTGTTTTCCAGCAAGATTGGAGAAGAAGGTTGGGTGTGTATGTTAGCATACTCAGATGTGCGTTGAATCAGGCCATTAGATATCCAAACATTACCAATTATACGATTAAAAATGGGGAGCTAAAAAGAGCCAACAGAATCTCTTGCTGAGATGAAATAATAAAATCCTTGCAAAATCCACAAGCTGGGCAAAAATAAAAATGTTTTCATAATTCATCAGAAAACCCACGGCTACACAAGTAGGGGGCCACATCTGAAAAGGCCCTGTCCTGTGTCCTTGCTCAGAAAAAATCTGAAGGTAACCGCAGTGTGCAAGCAGGTTGATGTAGGTGAAAAAAAAGTCTCTCAGGTAACCTGTTCACAAACTGCATATGATAGTAAGAGCCAGTGTGGTATAGTGGTTAGAGTGTTGGCCTGGGAGACCAGGGTTCAGATCCCCATTTACCCATAAATTCACTGGGTGACCTTGGAACAATCACCGTCTCTCAGTCTAACCTACCTCACAGGGTTGGTGTGAGGAAAAATTTGGGAGGAAGAGTACCATATATATAATATCAGTCCCAACCAGTATTGCTAGTGGTATAAGGCTTCATCAGTACTTTGAACTGGATCCAGAAATGAGCTTTCAACCAGTGTTAATGTACACGAGGCTGTGCCTACTTTATCTGTGGCTTCTATTTCTTGAACTCAGCACAGAACCAAAGTTGAACAAATAGAAATAAGGGCTTTTTTTTTTAATAGAAAACTATTCTCCCATTCTGATACATTTTTATTTTTACAAGTCCAGGAATTCTGATACACAAACTCTGTTCCACATGCATCTGAATGAACAGTGCTCATATGTGCAAAAGTTTCATGCACGCAACTGGGTTTGCATTGATTTCCTGCTCAAAATCCATATTTCCCTGCAATATGCACCAGAAATAACTGTCACTGTTTGGGTAAATTAAAAACACAAAACAAACACAAAACTCAAAGACCTAGAACTTAAAGATTTAAGAGTGGATAAAGACCTGCCATGCTAAATGGTTGGCAATGGGCAGGCATGATGATTTATTAATGGTACGATGTGTTACTTAAAAAAAGGAGAAGAAAAGGAAGAAGAAGAAAGACCTCAGGAAACTATTGTTTAATGTAGTTTGAGAGGGAAGTTCAACAGGAATTTCTACCCCAAGAGGAAGATGTTTTATGGGGAATACAAATATGGCTCAGCACACTCAGGGCAAAGGAAACAGGAAGCCGCTAGAAAAAGCTCTGATACAATCTGTCACGGAGAAGTGTGAGGACATACAATCGCTTATCAGTGATGTGCTTTTAAATTCCACAAGCCTTTGCAGGCACTACTTGCACGAGACAGTAGTCTTTTGTGAAAGGAAAAGTAGGATATGAATAATTTCCCATGGTGGCTGCAAAAGGTGGGTTGATAAGAATATAATAATAAATTTTTATTTATACCCTGTATTTATACCCCGCCCTCTCCTTTCAGAAAACCGGGCTCAGGGCGGCTAACAACAAATTTAAAACACTTAACTGATGCAACAAAAAAAAAACAGCATAAAACGTGAATAGCAATAAATTCAGAATTTAAAAATCAATTTAGGGGGGAAATCTATGAAAAAATCCATGAAAAAATGAAAAACGGTTTTTATATGCACACCTTCAACCTCAGGATGGGCGAACCTGTCAATTTCAGTTTCTCATCTTTCCACATAAGTTTGCTGCTTCATTCATTCATTCATTCAGTTTTATTGGAAAGTTGTCATGAGGATTCATTAGCATCTTAGTACAAATTTATCCATATATATATATATATATATATATATACACACACACACACACACACACACACACAGATATATATATATATATATATATATATATATATATATATACACACACACAGACTCAAATGCAATGTTGAATAACACATATTTTTCTGAAGCACTTTCCCCTAATATAATGCATTTTTGTACGTTATTTTCACTAATACACACACACTTTTACTTCGTATGCACAATTTTGTACACACTACTTTGCTGGAGAGCTGCATTGCAAAATTAGGAGACGTGCGAATTTTGAAGGTTTGCTGTGTTGTAGTTCACATATGGTTTCAGAAAGTGTGAATTAGGTAGGTTCACTTTTAAAAGCAAACTTAATCACCAATAGCATTTCCTATAAGCTTAAACTTTGACAAATGCTGGGTTACAACCATCAATAAACCATACTGTAGCTGTAGCATCTCAGTGCCTTCCTGCAACAGTATGAAGATACCAGTTCTGTTTTCCCCAACAATCATTTCAAAATAGCAAGTACAACTTGACAACGCCCTGAAGGCTGCAAAATCATTTTGTTTTGGCTTCCTTTTCCTTAGTGAAAAACATCTTCTTGATTTTAGAAGTGCTGCCTCTGGCTTTGCGTATGACTATGTTTTGTGTCAATCCAAACTCTACAATTCATTTGAATCTGAAACTCTTCTAAAGGGGAGAGAGGAAGTGGGAGCTTTTGGATGAGCAAAAAAGGGGGAAAGGATCAGTAATTTTTTACTGAAGCAGTGTGGGCAGCTTTTCCAGATGGTTGAATTGCACACCATGCTGGTTGCATCTGTGGGAAGGAATCATTCCTACTGTTTATGATGATGTGCAGGCTATGAGTGCTGTTGTTTATGCAGCCAAAGCAGTACCACATTTATTTGTTTATTTATATCCCACCTTTTTCCTCTAAGAAGCTCAAGGTGCCATGCATAGTTTTCCCTCTCCTCATTTAATCCTCACAAGAACCTTGCAAGGTAGGTTAGGCTGGGAATCAGGGACTGGCCCAAGCTCACCCACCATGTTTGATGGCTGAGTGGG